CATACTGATTGAGTATAGTCAATATTATTTATACTTATTTCTTAGACCTAGAGCCCCTTCTCCTTCATGCAAAAACTTATGTACCAAATATATATTTCTTATACACTGTTCTTTGCTTGAGACTTTTCATTATGTCACTATCTTTTTCCCCATCAGATGCAATTATACTATTTTAGTCAAGTTAACACTTTAACTGACATTAATATTCTATATGCAAACAGTGTGGTCTTAAGCTCTTCATTTACTGAGGCTGGAGAAAGCTTAGTAGTTTAAGATATTTAAGGGCTTATATGTGTAAGTATGCCTTTCAAACACTATTTTTAATTTATAAGGATATAATCAGTAACTAAACTAATCCTAACACTAGGATTATCTGCCTAATTCATATATATATAATCATATATTTTTTTTTCTTTTTAATTTTTGAAACAGGGTCTCACTGTGATGCCCAAGCTGGAGGGCAGCGGCGAGATCAAGGCTCACTGCAGTCTTGACCTTCCAGACTCAATCAATCCGCCCAACTCAGCCTCCTGAGTAGCCGGGACTAAAGGTGCACACGACGAGACCAGACTAATTTTTGTATTTTTTGTACAGAAAGGGTTTCACCACGCTGCCAAGACTGGTCTCAAACTCCCTGCCTCAAGCGATCTGTCCCCCTTGGCCTCCTAAAGTGCTGGAACAACAGGCATGAGCCCCAACACCTGGCATATCTTACATTAAGAAAGAAACATAGTATTCAAATGAATTTTAATTTCATCCATCTGCCCCTAAAATAACTCAGACCTTACTAATATATTTTTATTGTGGTACAATAGTCCTTTTCTTTAAATTAGACTATCAAAATGCTTTTTAAAATAATATAAAATCAATCAAGTATCTCACATGAAAATCTAGAGGTTGTTTACAATTCCCTTAATGAAAACATAACGGCCATAACATAAATACTCCAACAATATTGGATAACATTAGATAATACCTACTACTATAACTGACCTACCAGTAAATATGTCAAGCAAGACATCGTATGGGTTTATGTGATATATGATACAAACTGCAACAATATTTCTCTGGAAAAAAAATTTACTTTTAGAAGCAGCAGCAGAACCCAAGAAAGCAAAATCCTGCACCAAAACTGGCATCGCCCTACACCCCCCCCTCAACAAAAACCTGTTAACAAAAAGTTTACAGGAAAATAAGTTTGATTAAAAGAAATACAAGCATAATCTGCTAGAGGAAATACAGTGAAAGGGTTGTCGGACTCTTTTCTAAAAATGGTTGCATCTGAATTATTTCAAATCAAAACAGAGACCATGATAAATTGGGCTCTAACAGATGACTTACAGAGCACAGCGACGGCCCCAGACTCGAACATGAGACATTCTTCCTTATGCCTAGTTTCCACTATGAGGCTGAAAGGTGGGGGATCCAATTTGTGATAGATCCGGAATCCTTTACTGAACGCCATTCTCCTTTCTTCGGAGGCAGCCCTGTGGAAACCAAGCAAAGCAAAGCAAATGAAGCTGATGTTTCCTTCTGCAGCAAGGACTGCAAAGCATCCAAAAGTCCCTCCCTGCCAGGTTTTGATGGGGGGTTGGGGTGGGGAAAAAACAGACAGCTCAGGGAGAAAATGGCTTATTCCAAAAGATAAGTCGTCACTTAATTTTACCAAAAAGCAAGAGGAAAAGCTACCAATTCTCATACCAAGGCAAGACAAGGTTTTAGCACTGTAAGTCCATCAACGGTTTGGTTGAGTTTCCCGTTTAATTTATGCTTACTGAAAGGAAAAATTTTGAGCGTATTTCGTTCGGAGTTGCTTATCAGCTTCCTGCTTCAAGGTCTGTCACTACGTTGAAACGGAACCTATTTGGAAACTTCAAGCAGTTCCTTCGAGGGGAAAGGAGCGGAGGTGGGAGGGAAGGGTGACAAGGCTGGTTCAAAGCTCCTTAGGGGGCAGGAGGAGGAAAAGGATTATTCTACGCGACAGGCTCTCCCGGGTGTGGCGACGAAGGGCAAGGGAAACGGCACAGGTTACCACCGCCTCCCCTGCCCCGGGCTACCGCCGGCTAGGGGGACCGCACGCGGGGCCGAAAAATACGAATAGCCACCCGGGAAGAGTCATGACTCGGGGCACCGACCCGACTGGGGCTCCTCGGGGTCCCGGGAAGTCGACTGCCCGGGAAAACGGCTCCTTCTCAGAGAGACTGAAGAGCCGAGAAGCCCAAACCCTCCATTTATGCGCCAGAAGAGATGACCCGGCGCCCAGGCGGATTCGGTTCGTTCCCGCGGGCAGGCTGACAGCCGCTGTCACCAGCCCCCCGCCTGACGCGGCGCCCTGCACAACCCGTGGTCTCCTCACAACCCCGCCCGCTCTCCCGCACCCCGGCTGCTCGCGGTCGCCCCTCACCGCTCCCGCTGAGGCTGCGGAGGCAGAGGCTGGTCTTGGAGGCGTCCGCCCGCCCGGCTGCCGGTGGCTCTGGCCGCGGCCGCTCCCCGCCCCCCGCCGCCTTGCTCACCCCTTCCTCCGGCTCCTCCTCCTCCTCCTCCCGCAGCCGCCACTGCCTCCAGAAGCGTCACTTCCGCTCCAGCAGGCCCATCTCTTCCGCATTGCGCCGCGGCAGCGGGCGGAAGATCCGCCCCTCGCGAGGGAAGGGGCGGGGCGTCAGGAGGGAGATCACGCCCACTCTGCGCCGACCGGCCAGGCCGGCCACCAGCGGGCTGCCAGAGCCTCAGTCTCCAGCGACCTTCGCCTCCTGCGGCCGCCCCCAGGCCGAGCTGCGATCCCACCGCCGGGGGTGCAAGGAGAGGGAAGATCCGGCCTCCTTGGTCCCTTTGCGTGGGCTCTTCAGAGCGTGAGCGCCGGGGAGGGACTCAGGAGAAAAGCTTGGGGGGCTGCGTATTGCTGCTCCCCAAGCTGGGCGTCAGGACCACCCCCTGCCGCCCCCACGGGCCTGACGGGAGAGGAGGGAGGGCTCGGTATGGTCGGCTCGCCTAGTCAACTAGGTGGCGCCTGAAGAGCTGTCCATGGTGTCGACAGCCCAGCAAATGGCACCGAGTTCCCAGTCTGAGTGTCGGGGTAGGTAGCAGAAGAAAAACTAATGCCTGCTCTGGGACAGTTCTGTTCGGTGCCTTTTCTTGTGTGTTCTGGAGCTCACAGGGTGCTATCAAAGAGTGCTCAGGTGTATACGATGGAGAGTGGGAAGTCACAAACCAGGATCTCAAGGCTGAGTCCAACAAAACATGGCTGTAGGGAGGCCACTACAGCTGTGGTTGTCACTGATGGATGAATAGCTTTTGCCAACCGTGGAATTTAGTGACTAAAGGCACCTGATCCTTTTATCTCATCCTCATTTTTCAACAAATCGTGCTTCCTGGCTAATATCAGCGTGTCCCATAGATTTATTTCTGATTCCATTGAATAGACCTAATAAGTATGAGAATGAAGTCAAAGCCAACAGGGCAGAAAGGAATTGAAAACCTGAAGAACCCAGCACTCAAACTGTCTCCACTTGCCTTTGTTCTTTGTTTACCTCTTCTCCTTCTGGTTTTTAACAGCCAAAGCAGAATTTAAATTTGGTTATGTTGCAAAAATCATTTCCCTCTTCAGGCCCTGTCATGTGACTTGATTTTTTCATCCATTTTAGAGAAGCTGCACCCACCCTGGTTTCAGGACACGGAACTAAATTTATTAGAAAAGAAGCCACTTCAAGTCATGAAGGAGAAATACGAAGATTCTTGGATTTCGTTGTAAGAACTGGAGGGGGTTTCTATCTCAGTACTGTCTCAGAAAAAAAACTGTCGATATCAAATGCGTTGCTTGAGAGGTACCTTTTATGACAACTGAAATCACTCAGTTTCAAGAGGAGTTGGGGACTGAAACCAAACTTGCTTACTCCAAAGCCCAAAATCTTTTCCACCATGCCTGTGTGTGTGTAAGGCTACACTAGAAACGCATCCTTTCTTATAGTGTGAAGCATGAGTACTAAGCTCTTTTAGGAACAGGTGTTCTGCATATTCCTGGTTCCTTTTTATTTGGAACTAAGGAGATTTAGGTCCAAATTTCTGGGTTCTGGGTTGGAATTCCTGCTTCTTTCTTCAAATTAAACTGGGGGGTAGCAAGACTCTTATTCCTAGATTGTTAGACGGCCACAGCTTTTCCACATCTCATTTTAGTCATGAAAAAACATGCCCAGAGTTTGAAAAACATAAAGGCAATTTGACTAGTGGCTTGACTGGTTCTATCTTCTTTTTCTTGTCCCTCTTTCCTATTTATACTTCTACTTTTGTTACAGCATTTGACAATAGCTGGAAAAATTTTCACTGACCTTGAAATGTCTTTGGGGTAGGGTGACTTAAAATATAGGTTAAGTGGCATACACAGACTTCTTAGTGAGATCCTAAGGGCCTACAGAGACAGGCTGACACCAACTCAACCCTTGAAACTGAGCAATGAAGAGGCTGTGGGAGGCTAAAAAATGCTACTTCAAAAAGATGTCCTTGTCTGTGAATGTTAATTTAGGTTAATTTGCAGATTTGATTAAGGGACTTGAGATTATTTTGGATTATCCAGGTGGGCTCTAGGGCCCTAGATGCAATCACAAGTGTCCTTATAACAGGGAGGCAGAGGAAAATTAAACATGCACACACGAGAGAGAGAGAGAGAGAAAGAGAAAGAAAGTAAGTAATATGAAGACAGCAGCAGAGATTGGAGCTTGGCAATAGCCAAGCTATGTCAGCAGCCGTCAGAAGTTGGAAGAGGCAAGGAAGGATTTGAGCCTAGAGCCTTTGGAAAGAGCATGGCCCTGTTGATTCTGGCCTCCAGAAGTGCGAGAAAATACATTTTTGTTGTTTTAAACCACCCAGTTTGTGGTAATTTGTAACACCAGCTACAAGAAATTAACACAAGGCTGATGTGACTTTCCATCAGGAGAGAGCGAGCCCCAGGTAGGTGTTTCAGATATCACATCCAATAGAACAAATTAAAGACAAACACCCTAAATTTTCAATGTTGACTTGTGAGCAAGTTATTTCTCCTATAGGTAACTCTCATTGAAATACACAATTCATTATGTGGAAACATGGAATTGTTATTTCCATAGGTTTAAAAAAAAACCTCACATAGTGGCAATATGTGACCCAACCTAATAGTATGACCCAGGCAGACTATACAAGAATTTACGTATTTACAGATGATTAATGATAATCCCAAACAATCACATTAAAAAACTATATCAAGTGCATGGCTATAAATTTTGACAGGTGATTACTATGTGAATTAGTAGTAGTGCCTGCTTTTCTCTTTTGTCTGGCTTTTTTTTTTGGTCAAAAATGCTAGACAACATGGAAAATCAGGGAAATAGTCACAATCTGATTTAGTAACCTTTAACAGCTTCTTCTCAGGTTACACAGGCTAACTTTTATATCAGGATCAGGATCTGCAGAGCAATTAGTATAGTGCTCTGCAGATCCTGGTCCTAATATAGTATAGTATAGCAGGATCTGCAGACCCTAGTTGTACCTGGCCATACTCCCCACCAATGACTGAGAAAGAAATGGCTGATTGTTCAAGAGAAAACAGTGGTCTTGAAAGACAACACAACAGTAGGTTACAAAGAGCATTAGCTTTTTCTTTAAAAAAATTCAATGTAACCAGTGAAGGATGAGATTTTAAATTAGAAAAATGGAAATCCTATGAATAAAAAACTAGTAAGCTCGAGAGCAGAATCACTGTGGGAAAAAAAAACTGAAAAATAACTTGCAGGTACCATAGACAGGAAATTGCCACTAGAGCAAACAGGAAACTTGTGATAGATAAAAATGAAGTGTTTTCATTTGGAACAAGAGACCAACTGAAGAGAGATCAAGTGAAGGGCGTTTATTTTAATGACATACAAGGATTCTTGTGGACATCAAAGTGCCGGAGCCAAAAACAGGGCTCAACCTTCAAGATTAGAGCTGTGTTCAAGTTGTTCAAGTTGACTCTGGGTCCCAAAGCAACAGCAATTTCACTAAGGTTATGCGTAAAAGGTAAGCTTTCATGATCAAAATGTTTTTGCAAAGTAGCTTAGAATGGTTTCTGCAGTGTTTTGTCAAAACTTTTCTCATATATTTTCCTAAAGATATTTAACAAGATCCTAAGAAGTCATGTGCTAGGGATTCTCATTGTACTGAATGATTGTATCCTTTAAGCCTCTGGAGTTAGGACTCACAGGAAGCCAGTACAAATTACCGGGGGCTAGAGTCCAGAAGCAGGCCAGGGGCCAGTCTACATTGCACTTCGATACCAATTCCATATAACAATATTCAGCCTGTGTTTGGGCAGTCTGAAGCAGCCCTTAGCAGCTGTGAACCCCATATCCATGGACTGTTTCAGTTCTGGAGGGCAGTCTTCAAAACATTTATGAAAGTACAAGACCTCCCAAACATTCAGATACATTTAATTTTTCTTCCTACATGTAGTGCCAGTGTTTTTCTCATTTTCATTTACTTGAAACAACAGATCAAATGTTTTGTCATAATCAGTGAATGGCAGGACTCCCTTTATTACACGGGTATTACCATGTTAGAGATAAGAGCTCTTGTAACCATAAACAACCACTACAATGTAGCAACTTACAGCTTCCTATTTTATATTGCAGCTCTGTAACATTTGACCATTTTTGTAAGGGTTTCATGATTTCAAGGACGATTATTAGCATTTTCCATTTTTGGCCAATTCTGGATGCTGGTAATGTTACCACTGCAGGCAACGATGGCTCTACTCAACTGAAGACCTCTTGCAGGCAATGTGGACCATATCTGCTTTCCTACCTGAGAGATTAGCAAATTGGGTTTGGTGATCATGAAATTCTCTCAGATCTCATATTAGCAAGGAGACCCTGGTTGTACTTGTCAGGGCTGCCAGTTGGCCCTGCTGAAACTTTAGAACTGCACCAATGTCTAAGACTTTCATCCCTCCCTCCTTCCTTCACACAGGTGAAACCTGCCTGCCTCACTGTCTGACAGCTTTCCCAGCCTCCTCCAGGCTCCCCTCTGTTTTCTCTTATACACATTCCCCTCCAATAAACTTCTTGTACATTTAATGCCATCTCAGTGTCTGCTCCCAAGAGGACCCCAACTGACTCACTGGGGCATTTAACCTCCAATTCCTTTCCTCCCTTGGCTGAGATCTGTTCCAAGAAGTATCTCCAGGACACTCCAGCCTGTTGCACAGGCCAAAGAAAAGCCCTCAGGCAGAGGAGCAAGTACTTGCAAGAGGACACCCGTGGCAAGAACAGGGACATGGTGAGACATCGACATCATTGGCTCCAGTAGTACTAGTCACTCTTGACTATGTTGTTTCAATAGTTTTCCCTCTCAAAAACATTTGTCACCTATTTTGGAGTTAATTCAGAGGATTGCTCCAAAAGAAAAAACTAAAAAGCAAAACCAGCTTTATTAAAATGGTTCTGGATTTATCTTTTGAGAATTCTTTTCATAAGAAATAATGTCCTTAAGCTATATCAGGAATAAATGTTCTGCTTGAGATAGAAAAACCATTGGTTTTATGTACCCTACATCAAATTCCTAGTGTGATGTTTAAACCCATTCCTGAAACCTATAGCCTGACAGATTTCATAGGATAAAAAGCCTGAGTTTAAGAGTTCTTAAAAGCAGAGTAATTAGTCTAATGGGTTTGGAAATAATATGCAGTTTAAGGCCTAAATGATCTGCATGTGTATACATGTTTATATGTTTTATTCTACTTAAAATGAGGAATAGGTGTTCTGACTTTAATTCTACTTAGTAGGCCAGTAAGGTGTAACAGAAAATTCATCCAGAATGAATACTGTTTTGGTTTGGCTGTTTCCCAACCCAGTCGCACCTTGAATTGTAATAATCCCCACGTGTCAAGGGCAGGACCAGGTGGAGATAGCTGAATCATGGCAGGTGGTTTCTGCCATGCTGTTCTCCTGCTAGTGAGTTCTCATGAAATCTCATAGTTTTATAAGGGGCTTCCCCCTTCCCTCAACACTCATTCTTTCTGTTGCCACCCTGTGAAGATGTGCCTTTCGTCATGATTTTAAGTTTCCTGAGGCCTTCCCACCCATGCAGAACTGTGAGTCAATTAAACCGCTTTATAAATTACCTAGTCTTGGGTATGTCCCTATAGCAGCCTGAGAATGAACTAATACAAAGATGTAGGAATAAGATAAAATTAACAGAGGAAATAGAGTGCATGACACTGTTCTGCATATTATGTTCTGATCAAGGGTACACATGGACCTGCTCATAGTCCCACTTTATTAGTCATTTGAAATGCTGCAAACTTAGTCATCAGGAAAATACAACAAAGGATATATTTAAAAATTAATTTAATGCTTGGCTAAAGCTTAATTACATATATAATTATCAAACGATAGTCCTTAATTTCCAAAAAATTCCTTTTGAAAATCACAGAATCAGAAAGCATAAACTTTAAAACAAGTTCTTTGAATATTTACAATGTGATATAAACATTATAGAAGACCATGGATATTAAATTGCCTGGGTGTGGCTAATCAGCAAGGCGTATTCTTTATTGCATATTTAACTCACATATGTGGGATTTTAAATATGACAGACTACTGAAATTCAAATGCATGTATGTGCAAGCTGGGCAGGGAGTAAAATCATGAATGAGACAGGACGGTCAGCCCAAAACCATGCAATTAGGTTGTGGGTTTATTATTCTCAAAAGTGAAATTTCTATGTTCCATTTGAAAGTATGTTGCATATATCATTTAGCATTCACATTAAACCCACATTTGACTCTAACGCTGATTCAAGGAAAAAAGTTCAACATTCACTCAACGACTAAGTCCACAACTCAACTCTCAATGTTAAGGCAGCACAGCTACAGTGATAGCAACGCTAACCAAAAGGTAATGAACATTTAGTCACTTGCCAGCCCTTTTGTTACAACAGTGTAGTAATTTCCCTAAGACAATTTGCTACCGGATAATTTTCTGCTGTTAAAAGGCTTTCTCTGTAGAAAAACACCACAAATTTCCAGTGTGAAAGTAAATCCATGGTGGTATAAATATATATATGCATAATTACACAATTTACACTGCACACATCGTTTATAGGGGACAATTAACTGAGAGGGTTAATTTAAATGACCATACAAAATACTTCTGTAAACAAAGTATGACAGGCAGTAAACATTCATAGACTCCTAGAAATAATCTGAATTCCTTTCATTCTGAAGAAATATCATTTAAGGACACAGTATTGAATATAATGTTTTTTGTATTAAAACAAGAATCGCTATTTTACAGTTTAAGAAACTTTACATATATACAAAATTTACACATTGGGAATGGTAATCAAGCAAATAGGTTTTTCAGTCTCACAGATCTATTTTCCTTCAATCAAAGACTTAAATTCTTTCACATTGTGGTCACTTGCAACAGACATAGCATGATCCAAAGCTCGAACACTTGCAAGGAGTTTTACTATCTGTTTTATGTTTTCCCTAAAAGAAAAACATATAGCAGCATCTCATTAATTAGTACATCTAAGAGAAAATTTGCTACTGATTTCATGGCTATTTTAGAGCTTCTGCAATCAATTTTTCCAAGCACACATTTTCAAAGAAGGGAAACAGATATACAAGCTACGGCATGTAGGAAAAAAAAAAAAGGCCTGGGCGCGGTGGCTCACGCTTGTAATCCCAGCACTTTGGGAGGCTGAGGCGTGCGGATCACCTGAGCTCAGGAGTTCAAGACCAGCCTGGCCAACATGGTGAAACCCCGTCTCTACTAAAATTAAAAAAAAGAAAAAAAAAAGTTTACATTTATCCATATAAAACAAAACTTACATATGTTTAAATGACTAGCCCAGAGACAGGGGACCCATTTCTTTAAAAAAAAAAAACAAAATTCATTGAGATCAATGAGTTTCATTAATATTGCGAAAGAAAAAAAAGCAATCTGTTTTCAAACTACTTCAGAGGCCTGTCTCCCATTCCTTCTCAAACCAGAGTCCTGGCTCTTTCAGCACATACCTGGAACACAAAGGGTATTTGTGTCTTTTCATCACTAATCCATCAAGATCCAGTGTAATTTCCACTCCACCAAAATTCACTAAATAAAGTATAATCTGACTTTCCTTATCACCCCAGCTAGAAGGCATTCTGCTTTCTTATTAGGAAGTAATCCTCAAATTTTAGAACACATTAGAATTACCTAGAGAATTGCTGAAATGCAGATCATCCCTGGCCCCACCCCAAGAGTTCTATTCAGTAGGCCCACAGTGGGGCCTGAGAACTTGCAAGTCTATCAAACTCCCAGTATCATGCTGATACTGCTGGTCTAGGGACCACGCTTTAAGAATGACTGTTTTAACAGTTAGCTTAAACCACTCATAAGAAACAAGACATATATGACATTAGTAATTGTCTCATCTCTTCTACAGAATTGTAGTAAGCACCTATTAGGGAAGAATTAGAATTTGCAAAACTTGGCAACCCACGTGAAACCTGCTTTATATGCATTGCACAAAGCAGGTGCCTACATAGCTGTTAAAGTTCTTTTCTGTAGAAAAGTAAACACTATTTGTTAACTCCCAAACAGAAACACTGTTAAATGTATGTAAATCAAAGTTTAAAATGTGATAAAACTTATCTAGTAGAAAACAACACACTGAGAAAAAATGTTAGTGCCAACAAATAACAAAATGGCACACACTAAGAACAAAATCAAATCAACCAAAACCTGCCAAAGAATTTTACCATTAAAATCTTTTTTGTTGTTTTTTGAGATGGAGTCTTGCTCTTTCGCCAGGCTGGAGTACAGTGGCACAATCTCAGCTCACTACCACCTCTGCCTCCCAGGTTCAAGCAATTCCCCTGCCTCAGGCTCCCGAGTAGGGGGGACTACAGACATGCACCACCACGCCCACCTAATTTTTGTATTTTTAGTAGAAACAGGGATTCACCATATTGGCCAGGATGGTCTCGATCTCCTGACCTCGTGATCTGCCTGCCTCGGCCTCCCAAAGTGCTGGGATTATAGGCGTGAGCCACCGCGCCCAGCCTAAAATCTTTAATAGCTACTTTAATTTTATTGTGGAAAAAATATCCAATTTTCTTGCAGGAAAATAAAGTCTGTTTTCAAGAAAGGGGAATGAGGGAACGGAAGGTTTTGTTATAGGGGTATGACTAATGGTGTGATCTAAAAAAAAATGAAACTTTGACATTACAAAGATATATGAAATTAAAAATTTAAAAAGACAATTCCTTCAAACTGCCCTAGTGCTATTATTTACTTTTTATGCTAGAGATTTATCCCAGAATTACCTGAATATCCGTAATTAATGTCCACAGAAAGGCTAATGGTTCATTCACTCTTTTCTTACAACCCTTGATAAAAATTAGAAATAAGTTGCTCCCAAAAAGCCATTAGTGATAACCTCTAGTTCATAATATGGATTAAAACAAAAAATTTCCCCAAATTGGGAGATAACCTTGAATTTACATCTGTATAATGAAACTCCAAACAAGAGAGTCTGAGACTTCTCTAATTCTTCAAAGAGGGAGACAGAGAAAACCACCATTGATTCACTCCCCTGAGGGGCTGGTCCTTACCAGAAGTCTTTCCTTAGTATCTTCATAAGTAATATACTGAAAAAAGATAAAGTAAAAACTGCAAAAACAAAAAATTATGTGCATTTTGGTAGGTTTATAATACTAAGTGAACATACAATTTAAACTAAAATATAAATATTTCTACTTAAAACATTTTAATACTAAATCTGGCAACTAAAACAACTCTAGATTACCATTTCATTAATTACAAAATTACCTTGCATTTCTTTTTTCCACATCAGAGCACCCAATACTGTTTCTATAAATTGTATCTGCTAAGTGTACAAGGTATCGGCAAAAGTTTTCTAACTGAGAAATAGTCCTTTCTCCTTTCAGATTCATGAACCATTGTTTGGGGAAACAATTGATTACCTGTGGAGAAGAAAGATGTAAAATAAAATAGTTAAGACAGAATAAATTGAAGTATTAAAAGCGAAGTCTAGATAACGGGTATAAATGTATTTCACCAGAAGATATGCTTCTGAGCTACAGCAATTACTCTGAGGAAATATTCTTTTAAATCTGACTTCCTACGTTAACTAAACCAATATACCTGAATTTTTACCCCAACCAATGGGTTAGGCACTCAAAGCAAAAGAAAATCTGTCCAATATTTGAGTAAATTAGTAATGTAAAACTGACAACCAACGGCTTCATTTTCCAGTCTTCTAGGATGGCCTAAATAAACTGAGTTTCCTTTTTCAGCAGTTTTTGATGTAAAAATATGAGTGGTATAAAAATGAAATCACAGTGCCCCCATCCCCCGCAATAATTCCATGAATAGGTATCCGTGCATGCTGACAACGGGAGTCGAGTTGGCCCAGACTGAGGTTAAGATAGTAAGGTTATTATTATCCTAAAATTAAAGCTTTCATTTATACCTACAAAATATTAAAACTTTTACTAATATCTATAAAATATGGATATAGATGGATAGATATATATAATAGTATGCATTTTTATGTAAAAAAAAGCTGTAGGGGTTTGGAACTACCTGGGTAGGCAAACTGTCAACCTTACATGCAAGTCCAGTAATCAAAGGGGTTTCATAAAAATCTCAAATCCCTCTTCAAACAAACAAAAACTTAATTCAGTTTAACTCATATGCTTTAAAAACTACGCTATGTCATTTAACTCACATTTTGGGCTTTTTTGATGCTGTCATCTCCATATTCTGAATTCTGAAAAGCCATGAGAATATATCGATTTAATAAACCATCTATTGATAACTCTTGTAGAGTTTTATTTGAGAAAATGCCATACCACTGAAGAAAATTGCCTAATAGCTGGAAAGAAGAAAAAAAAATAGGTAACGTGACACAATTAGATTAGGTACAAAGTAAATAAGTTACATAGTAAAACACCATATGAAATAGAGCAGACCCTGTCTTGCCAAAGCACTAAGACATATTAATACTTTCAAAGGTACAGATATTTCCTAGAATGGTTACATTTGAATATTCAATTTTAATTAGTCAAAATTGAAACAGCCACATGTAGCTAGTGGCTACAGCACTGGTCAGCATAGATACTGAACAGTCCATCATCGCAGACAGTTAGGGAGTGCTAATTCTTAGGTAAGTGTCCTCTATTGAAAATCACACTCCAGCTGGTTCTATGCACACCCCCACCCACCCTCGCCGCCGCCCGCAAAGGATGGGAGAGTCTGACTACAACCCTGCATGGCTACCACATATCATGAACTACAACCAAGTTATAGCACTGTGCATCTCAAGCTACCCAAGCTCAATCAATACATAGAAAATGAAAGCTATCATCGTAAAATGGAAGCCCCATCCCATCCCACCATAAAAATTTATAATTTCCCAGTTGTTTCTCAACTTAGTAAATGGTAACACTATTCAACCAGCTGCTCGTGCCAGAGGTCTGGAGGTCATTCCTGACCTCTCTCTCAAGTTGTGTGTCTCCACCACCATCCAGTCTCTCCATTTCCCTCAGTTCCTGCTGCCATCCCCCAAATCCAACCCACCTTAATCTCTTCGGAACCCTGCAGTTACTCCAGTGATTATGAGCAAGAGCATGGAGTAGCCTTTCTTAAGCAGGGCTCTGCAAGAGTTCCAAACCTATAGAAAATGATTTGTGTGGCTCTTTACTCAGTTCTCCCAAGAATGATACACAGTTAGTACTGTTACAGATGCACGGGAAAGAGGAGAATTCACTGTAGAC